TAACTAAAACAATACCAAATACATAAAGAACTCAAAAATCTTAACACCAAAACAACAAATAACCCATTCAATATATGAGAAAAGAACTGAAAAGAAACTGCTTCTCAAAAGAGGTTCAAATATCCAGTAATTATATGACAAATGTTCAAAGACTTCAGCCATCAGGGAAATGTGAATCAAAACTATTGAGATTCTGTCTCACCCTAGTCAGAATGGAAATCATCAAAAAGGTAAATTACAATAAATTCTTGTGAAGATACAGGGGAACAGGAACCCTTAAACACTTTGGTGGGAATGTGAGTTAAGAGAGCTACTGTGGAAATCAATACGGGGGTTCCTCCAATAAACTGAAAATAGAACTACCACATGATCCATTTAAACTACTCCTTAATATTTATCTGAAAGTGTTAAAGTCAGAATACTTTAGAGATACCTACATATCCATGCATACACAATTCACAATATCCACGTTATGGACTCAGTATAGGTGTTAGAAGAATGGATAAAGAAAACATGATACACACACACACACACACACGACTATTATTCAGCCATAAAGATAAACAAAATATTTTTTCAGAAAAAAATGGATGGAACCGAACATCATGATGTTAAATGAAATAAGATTCAGACAAGTATCATGTTTTCTCTCCTATGTGGAAATTAGAGGAAGGGGAAAAAGGACATCAGGAATGCAGAAGGGAGACTATTGTAGAAGAAGAGGATCAGGGTAAAGGTGAAAGGGTATGGGGAGACAATGAGGAATGAAATTGATTAAATTATGTCACGCCATATGCTATATAATTAATATATACTAATGCACAATTAAATATATACTAATGCTGACATTTTACCGTGTACCTCTGTGACTCTAAAACAACAACAAAACTTTCTTTTCTGAACAAATTTTAGGTTTACAGAAAAATTGTGCAGAAAGTATAGTAAACTCCCAAATACCTTGCTCCCCACCTCAATTTATTCTACTATTAAGATCTTGTATTAGTGGTATATATTTGTTAAACTGTTAATCAATATTGATAAGTTATTATTAACTAAAGTCTAGTTTACAGTACTCTGTGTGGACACATGGTAAATGCATTGTCATGTATCCATCATTATAGTGTCATACAGAATAGTCTCACTTCCCTACAGATCCCTGGTACTCCACCTATTTATCCCTTTCTCCCTCTCCCAAACTCTACATCACCACTGATTTTTTACTTCTTCATAGTTTTGCCTTGTTTTAGACTGGTATGTAGTAGGAATTATACAGTATGTAGTATTTTCATACAGGCTTCTCTCACTTAGAGATATACATTTAAAGTTTCACTCTGTCTTTTCATAGATTGTTGACTTGTCTTTTTATTACTGAATGCCACTACATGGATACATACCAAAGTTTCTTTATCTGTTGATCTATTAAATAAAGTGCCTCTTGGTTGCTTCCAAGTTTGGCAATTATGAATAAAGTTGCCATAGATATATTTGTGTATATATACATTTTCAACTCATCTGGATTAATATATAAGTGCAACTGCTGTATCATATAGTAAGCTTATATTTACCTTTGTAAGAAACTGCCACACTATTTTCCAAAGTGACTATTTCTCATACCCGCTAGCAATGAATGAAAGTTTGTGTTGTTTCTCAGAGCATTTGGGATTATGAAGAGTTGCGAAGTTTAGTTATTCTAATAGGTTTATAGTTGTGTCTCATTGGGGTTTTAATTTGTAATTTTCTGATGACATATCACCATGTTTTCATGTTTATTTGCCATATACACATATGTGTATCTTCTTTGGTGAAGTGACTATACACATATCTCTTCCATTTTTTAATTTGGTTGTTCATTTTCTTATTGTTGAGTTTTACTTTATTTTCTTATTATTGAGTTCTTTGTATATTTTGGATACTAGTCTTTTATCAGATATGGATTTTGCCAAGATTTTTCTTCCAGTCTGTGACTTGTCTTTTCATTCTCTTACTAGTGTTTTTCCCAGAGGAGTTTTTAATTTTAATGAAGTTCAAGTTACCAATTTCTTCTTTCATGGGGCTTGATAATCTAAAGACTTACCTAGATTTTTCTCCTGTTACCTTCTAGGAGTTATTTAGTTTTTATTTCACATTTAGGTTTATGATCCATTTTGAGGTAATATTTACAAAAGGTGTAAGGTCTGTATCTAAATTGAATTCTTTGATTGTGATTTTGTTTTCTTTTCATGTGGTTATCCAGTGATTTCAGCATCATTTGGTGAAAAGAATGTTCTTTCTCTATTGAATTGCTTTTGTTACTTTCCCCAAGATCATTGGACTGCATTTGTATGGGTCTGTTTCTGAGTTGTCTATTTCCATTCCATTGATCTTGTTTGTTCTTAATCCTATACTGTCTTGATTACTGCAGCTATACATTAAGTCTTAACGTTGGATACTAATATTTCTCCAACTTTGTTGTTTTCCTTCAATGTTGTGCTAGTTCTTCAGGATCTTTTGCCCTTGTGTAATCAGAATCAGTTTGTTGATAAAATAACTTTTTGAGTTTTTTATTCTGATTGCTTGGAATCTATCAGGTTGGGGAATATTGACATTGTCTTCATATCCATGGACATGATCTATCCATATACGTGGATTTTCTTTTATTTCTTTCATTGGAATTTTGTAGTTTTCATTATAGATTTTGAATATGTTCTTTAGGTTTCTACCAAAGTATTTCATTTCTATGCTAGGATAAAGTTTTTTTAAAAAAATTTTAATTTCAAATTCCAATTGTTCATTGCTGTTACACAGGAAAGCATCAACTTGTGTTTATTAATACTATGTCCTGCAGTCTTGCTGTAATTGCTCATTGGTTCTAGAGGTTATTTTTTTGGGTTTTGGATTTGGGATTTTATTGTTGTTGTTTTTGTTAATACATTGGGATTTCCAAATAGACTAATATATTATTTTTAAACAAATATTTTATTCATTATTTCCCATTCTGTATAAATTTTATTTCCTTGTCTTATCTAGTTTCTTACCAATAATTCTGATATTAGCTCTACTTTAGTTAGTAGACATTTTCTACCAATGGAAGGAGTTCCCCTTTTTTCTAGTTTCTGAAAGGTTTTTTTTTTTTTTTTAAATCATGAACAGGTATTGAATTTTGACTCGTGCTCTTTCTACATCTATTGATAAGGATCAGTAGCTTTTTCTTCCTTAGTCTGTTGTTGTGATCAGTTATATTAGTTGTTTTCAAAGCAACTTACATACCTGGAATCAATTCCTTTTGGCTATGGTGTATAATACTTACACATTGTTGGGTTTGATTTGCTAATATTTGTGATATCTTTGTCCAGTTTCGGTGTTAGGATTGTGCTGGCTTCATTCAGTGAAATAGAAAATGCTTCACATTTTCAGAAGAGATTTTAAGGAATAGGTATTGTTTCTTCTTTAAATATTTGGTAGAATTCACCAGTGAAATCAACTATGCCTGGTGCTGTTTTATTAACTGTAATTATTTAAGAAATTAAATGAATGATTAATAAAACAGCACCAGGCTTGCTTACTCCTTCCTTCCCTCTGTCCCTCCTTCCCTCTTTTCTTTTTCCATTCATTCATTTGTTCATTTAGTATATTTTTTCTGCTATTTAAATTGGGCAATTTCTATTGTTCTGCCTTCTAACTAACAGATGGTTTTCTCTATCTCTTCCATTCTGCCTTTGAGCTTAATTTACTGAGGTTTTTGTTCCAGTTATTTTCAGTTCTAAAATTTCCTTTTGGTTCTTATATCTTCTGTTTCTTTACTGAGACTTTTTATATTTTTGTTAATTTCAAGCATGTTTTTAATTATTGAAACATGTTTATGGGGGTTACTTTCATATCTTTGTGAGATGATTGTACCTTTTCTATCATCTTCATGTTGGTATCTATTGATTGTCCTTTTTTATTTGTTTTGACATCATCTGGTTATCAATATGATGATTGATTTTTTTTAAATGGTAACTTGGATATTTTGGATATAATGTTATAAATCTCTGGGTTTTATTTAAACCTTTTGTTTTAGCTGGCTTTTTTTGATGCTGCTGTGGTAGGGAAGGAAGAAGTGCTGTCTCATTATTGCCTGGTGGGTGTAGCTCCCTACTAGGACTCCATTGATACTTTTGGCTGAGTAGAGTATAAGTACCTCATTGCTGCTTTCTACCTGGCCTCCACTGTATCACAGAAAGTAGGGTGCCTCATTAGTGATGGGTAATAGTGAAGGTTCTGATTCTATTAGGCCTGCTTTGACACCATTGCATTGGAGTGAAAGAGGGTTATCTCATTACTACCAGTATGTAGTAGAAGTACAGGCTCCTCGGGTGGTGTTCATTGATTCTCCATGGACTTGTATTTATCAATATATTTATCAATATATATCAATATATTTATCAATATAATTGCGATTAATAGTTCCTTATTGCCTAACAGATACGAAAGCCCTATATGTCTTTCTCTGAAATGAGCTGGGAATTAGAGCACTGTGGTTCAGCTTGGCAAGACTAGAAATCTAATTTTTGTTTCTTTGGATTACCGGTTATGAAGTTTTTATATAAATGAAGTTATTATATTATGTGGCATTTTAAAACTGGCTTCTTTAACATAGCATGATGTTTTCAAGGTTCATCTGTGTTTTAACATGTATTGGTACTTCTACCACTGAGCTACATCCTTAGCCCCTCCATTTTTTTCTTTACTAATAATTTTGTATCTTGTATTACAATATCAGGAAAGGAACCCAAGATATTTTGTAGTGTTTTTGGGCTCTTAGAACCATACCTAGACTTAAGATGTGCTTCTACTCTTATTCTTGGCTTATTTCTATAGTCTTTTCATTAAAATGATAGGGCTGATAATTAAGTTACTTGAGAATTAAGGTTTGATGAATATTAAACCATTATTCATTTGAAACATTGCTAATGAATAATTATTTATAGTCATGAATTTTCTATTCATAAATTTACCTGTGATTTTTTTTTTTTACTTAGAAAAAAGAAAGTGAATGCCTGCAATTAAAAATTTTGGTGCTTCGCAATGAACTGGAAAGACAGAAGAAAGCTTTGGGACGGGAAGTAGCATTACTGCATAAGCAACAAATTGCATTACAGGACAAAGGTGAGTTGAAACCCCATATAAACAGTGTAACTTCCACATTCAGTAGGTTTTCTACATAGGCTCAAATAGTTATCTTTGTATAAATATGTTGATAGGACAATCTTTAATTTTAAAAGTATTTTTGAGGAATTTTGAAGTTGATATACACAGAAGAGTATACAAATTCATACATACATATGTACAGCTTGAATTTTCACAAAGTGAATGCACCCATCTAAGCAGACCCTTACATCAAGAAACAGCATTGTCAAGACCCCCAAACCTTAGAAGCCTTCACTTCCTCCCTTCCATTCAGTACATCTCCAAACAGATCAACCATTACCCTGACTTATTAAACCAAAGATTGGTTTTACCTAATTTTGAATTTTATAGAAATAAAATCATATGTAGTTGCCTTCTGTTAAGTCTGTTGAGGACCCTCTGTTCTGTTCCATTAATTTGGTTTTCTACCACAGTTTCACTGTTTGAATTTTCTTCATGTTATAATAGGTATTAATATGTGTTAAAGTTCTTAAGCATATTGTTGTTTTTAAGTTCATCTTTGTTATTTTCATCTTTTGCATTTTCATTGAATTTCTACACAGAGAAAAAAAAAGTTTTGCAAGGAGTTAGAGGGAACTGCTTTGAGTATATTTATCAATATAGTTGCGATTAATAGAATCTTTACAATAAATCTGTTGTCCCAAGAAAATGATATATTTCTTTGTTTATTAGATCTTCTTCAGAAAACATTATTGAAATAAAGTAGTTGTTAGTATGTGGATTTTTCTCATGATTAATTGAATTTATTTCTGATTTTTTATATTTTATGGCACTATTGTAAGTATCTTTAAGTTTTATTTTCTACATGTTGCTCCTGTATAGATATATAATTAAATTTTTAAAGTAATACTGATTTTTTATTATATTGCATTTGAAGAAAAATTTACCAGAAGCCTGATCCAAAGATTAGCATTTGTTAATGTTAGAATTCTGACCTTGGAACCATAGTTCTTGCTATGATTATTTATTTGTTATAATTTGATGACACTGTAATCAAATAATTAAATTGTAATTTCATTATAGTTTAATTATATTACAAAGATATCAAAATTACAAAAAAAAAAAATTGTTGTTGTTTTGATACCAGGAATTGAACACAGAGATGCTTAGCCACTGGGCCACATCCCAGACCTTTTTATTTTTATTTTTTAATATTATTTTTTAGTTGTAGTTGGACACAATGCCTTTATTTCACTTATTTATTTTTGTGTGGTGCTGAGGGTCTCGCATGTGCGAGGTGAGTGCTCTACCACTGAGCCACAACCCCAGCCCTAGCCTTTTTAATATTTTATTTAGAGACAGGGTCTTGCTGAGTTGCTCAGGGCCTAAGTTGCTGAGGCTGACTTTGAACTCATGATTCTCTTGCCTCAGCCTCCTGAGCCACTGGGATTACAAGCATGTGCCACCATGCCTGGCACAAAAATTTTAAACATATTTACTGAAGTCTAATTTACGTACCTATAAGTCACCATTTTAAAGTATATTATTAAGTCTTTTTTAGTTAATTCTCAGGATTGTGCAGTGTTCACAACTCAATATTTAATTTTTGCTAATTTCTTCTGAAAGAAAACTGATACCTATTAGGCTTCATTCCATATTCCCCCTATTTCCAATCCTAAGTGAACACTAATCTATTTTCTGCCTCTATAGATTTACCTATTTTGGGGATCTCACATAAATGGAATTATATACTAAATGGTATTTTTACGACCAACTTCTTTCATTTAGCATATTTTTGAAATTTTCAACCATACTGTAGTATGTATCAGTACTTCTATAAATTTAATAAAGTATTAAATTATATGTACATACTACATTTTATATATCCATTCATCAATTGATCGATATTCGGGTTGTTTTCACTTTTTCACTCTCATGAATAGTGCTGCTATAAAGTGTTTTAGTCCTACTGATGTTGTTAATTTATGGACCATACTTCATACAGCAAGGATATGTATGATATGACAAATTTTTAAACTGAAGTGATCTTAAAAAATAGGAATAAAACAGTTTTATATCATACTTTGGTGGGTTTCTGTACCATTAAATTTCAACCCAAATGCCTTACAAAAGCCTTCTATGGTTCACCTCAACTGGAATACTTGAGCCACACTAAATTTCTTTTAGTTCCTTAAATAAGCTTTGCTATGTCTCATCTGCATTCAGTCCTTTGCTTAAATGCTAAGCATTCACTCTACCTCTAAGCTACATTCCCAGTTTTTATATGTTTTTGAGATAAGTATTAGTTTGTATTTCCCTGAAATATTAGAATCATTAAAAGGTTAGGATCTAGTTGACACTGTTTCCTCGTGTAAGTAGGAGATAGAGAGGTGCTGTTGGATTCACTCTGTGCCCACTGGAGTCTCTGTAGACTGGAATGATCACACCGGGGGAGTGGGAAAGAGGAGGTAGCTGGATGCAGATCATCAAATATATTTATTAGTAGATCCTATATTAAAGTAGATTATAGGGATTGACCTAGTAACCAGAGACATTCTATGATATAGGCACTTGGTTCTGAGTCCAAGAGCTCAATTAGAATATAAAATCACTAATATATGATATCTAATCTTTACTTTGCTACTGATTTTTGTAGACTGACTCTAAAGGAATTATTTAACTTCTGCATCTTTTTAAACATCTGTTCCATAAGGCTAACAGCCCATAATAGTGCTATAGGAATTAATTTTTATAAATATTTTGAAGAAACCAGGTGCCTATTATATATTTTATGTTTTTATTCATAAAAAATCCAATGCAGCAGAATGATTTATTGGAAAGAAGATAGAGAATTTCTGTCCATTTTGCTTACTTGCTGAATGGCCCCATCACTCTGAAGAACTTCATTACTCTCTACACCCATGTTTTCCCTTCCTGTACCTCGGAGATGGTAGTTCTCAACTTGTGATCTAGAGCAACTTCCAGCTGAGTCATGACTGATCTTTTCAGTATTAATGTGTATATATTTTCATTTCTGGAAGATTTTAGTAATTTAACTCATGATATTTAATTAAAAAAATAAAAACAGACTTCCCCTCATTAGGGTCTGAAGTCATAGGACTTTCCCACTAATTAATTCTGTTGTTTTACAGTCTTTTGTCCTAACCCAACCCCCATATCTTTTTGAGAAGCAACACTCTACCAAAATTAGTTTCTGGAAATTTGTTTTTAAAAATGATATGTAAAGTTGCTTTTCAGCATCCTGGTGCTGCTACACTGCAGATCCCATGCAGTAACCCAGCCAAGATGCTGGAGGAGACCCAAACCCAAGACTACCTATGGAGGACGAGAAAGTGAAGACCTTCATCTTCCAAGCAGAGATTGCCTAGTTGATGTTATTGGTCATCAACACTTTCTACTCAAAGAGATCTTCCTGTGGGAGCTGATTTCCAGGTGTCCAGTGCCCTGAACAAAATCAGATATGATAACTTGACAGATCCAGTAAGCTAGACTCTGGGAAGGAGCTGCACATTAATCTCATGCCAAACAAATAAAACCAAACCCTCACGATTGTGGTTACTGGAATTGGAATGACTAAGGCTGACCTGATCTGTAACCTTGGTACTATAGTCATGTGTGGGTCCAAAGCCTTCATGGAGGCTTTGCAGGCTGGTACAGACAGACATCCCATGATTGGCCAGTTCAGTGTCAGCTTTTATTCTGTGTTTCTGGTTACTGAGAAAGTGACTGTGATCACCAAACACAACAATGATAAGCAGTATCCCTAGGAGTCCTCTGCAGGGGGCTCCTTTACTGTCAGTACTGACACAGGGGAACCAGTGGGTGGTGGCGCAAAGATTGTCCTTCATCTGAAAGAAGATCAAATTGAGTACTTGGGGGAAAGAAGAATAAAGGAGATTGTGAAGAACATTCCCAGTTTATTGGCTATCCCATTACTCTCTTTGTGGAAAAGGGACGTGATAAAGAAATCAGTGAAGATGAGGCTAAAGAATACGATAAAAAGGAGGGAAAAGAAAAAGGAGCCTGTGACAAACCTGAAATTGAAGATGTTGATTCTGATGAAGAAGAAGAAAAGAAGGATAGTGACAAGAAGATTAAGGAGAAGTATATCAATTATGAAGAACTCAACAAAACAAAGCCCATTTGGAATAGAAATCCTGATGATATCACTAACCTGGAGTACAGAGAGTTCTATAAGAGCTTGATCAGTGATTGGGAAAATCACTTGGCAGTGAAGCATTTTTCTGTTGAAGGACAGTTGGAATTTAGAGGGTTTTTTGTTGTTGTTGTTGTTTGTCCCAAGATGTGCTCCATTTGACCTCTTTGAAAACAGAAAGAAAAAGAACAACATTAACTTATATGTATGCAAAGTTCTCATCATGGATAACTGTGAGGAGCTAATCCCTGAATATCTGAACTTCATTAGAGGAGTGATGAACTCTGAGGATCTTCTCTATATAGTCTGTGAATTGTTGCAACAAAGCAAAATTTTGAAAGTAATCATTAAGAATTTGGTCAAAAAAAATGCTTAGAACTGTTCGCTGATCTGGCAGAAGATAAAGAGACTCTCAGAGCTGTTACAATACTGCACTGTCTGCTTCAGGGAACGAGATGGTTTCTCTCAAGGACTGTTTCACCAAAATGAAGCAAAACCAGAAACACATCTGCTGTATCCCAGGTGAGATCAAGGACCAGATAGCTGACTCTGCCTGTGTGGAGTGTCTTTGAAGCATGGTTTAGAAGTGATCTCTATGATCAAGCTGATCAATGAGTACTGTGTCCAACAACTCAAGGAATTTGAGGGAAAGACTTTAGTGTCTGTCACCAAAGAGGGCTTAGAGCTTCCAGAGAATGAAGAAGAGAAGAAACAAGAAGGAGAAAAAGACAAGTTTTTTGAAAAACCTCTGCAAGATCATAAAGGACATCTTAGAGAAAAAGGTTGTGTCAAACTGATTGGTGACCTCCTCATGCTGTATCATTACAAGCATCTATGGCTG